ATGCCGAGGAACATGGAAACTTGGCCAAGGTTCTTGACGTGGAAGGTGAGGTTAATTGTTGTGTGAGGTCCTCTATAATAGCCATGTTAGTACCCGCTATAAGCATATCATCAAAGTAAATCAAAACGAAGAGTTGAAGCTTTGGTGTGCTTGAAATAAGCAAGGACATGGAGAAAAAACATGGAGATAGTGATGAACGGTCTGGGAAGTTGTTTAAACTGGTATAGTGCTTTCTTCAGTAGCAAACATGATTGGGAAACTGAGGATCTTTGAAGCCGATAGGTTGTTACATATAGATTGTGTCAGCTAAATGTCCATGCAGAAATGCATCAACAACATCAAAATGGGAGAGTGGTCTTTGTTTATTGAAGGCAATAATGAAGAGGGTTTTAAGGGTAGTCATCTTGGCAACCGAGCTGAACATTTCAACATAGCTAATGTCATATTCTTGTTTATAGTCCTGGGTGACTAAGCGGGCTTGATAGAAGGCCACAGTTCGATTTTAATTGAGCTTGGTATGGGATGTCCAATGACACCTGAATGCAGGTTGATTTGGTGGGGGAGGGACCAAGTCCCATGTCATTTGAGCTTGAAGGGGATGGCATTCATCATTCATGGCTTATCACCAATGCAGGAATTTTACAGCTAGAGCGTATGAGGACAGATTTGGATTGTATTGAAGTTGATGGAAGAGGTTTAGTTTTTGAATAAGTTTCAAGTTGCCTGTTTTGGTACGGGTCTGCATAGGGTGGGTAATAGGCGCGGGTGGTGTTGGAGGCAAATTAGTGGGAGAGAGGAATTGTGGTTTTTGTAGTGCTGAATCAGGTGGGGAGGAATCGAGTTCGGTTGGGAAGCAGGTGAGGTAGGTAATGGGTTCGGCTCGGTAGCAGGTGGAGTAGGTATCAGGTTCGGCTGGATAGAGGGATTTGGCTGATGTACAAGGATTGAAGTTCTTTGGGAGAAGGTGGAATGTGGTACTAGTAGTAGGAGGGTTGAGTGGAGTAGGTGAGACAGTGGAAGTGGTGGGAGTGTTGCATTTGAGAGGGAAGATGAGTTCACTAAATATTACATGCCATGAAATGAAGATTTTGGTGGATTAAGGATCATAGCATTTATATCCTTTATGATTCGAGGAGTAACCAAGGAATATGCCTGGAGTGGATCGAGGTGCGAGTTTATGAGGAGCCATGTTCTCAAGCCATGAAAAGCATTGACACCCAAATATTTTGAGATGAGAATACATTGGTTGTTTGTGATAGAGACGTTCATAGACTGAGAAAAAAAGGTTGGATTTAGATGGCATCCAATTAATTAGATAGATAATTTTTTGGAGAGCATCAACCCAAAATGTAAGGGGAATCACAACATTATGACGAAGTGTGCGAGCGGTTTCAAGAAGGTAGCAATGTTTCCTGTCAGCGATACTATTTTGTTTGGATGTATATGGACATGAAAGTTGTGCAGGATAATACCCTCGCAAGAAAAGAATTCACCGAGGCTAGAGTCATTATATTCAACTCCTACATCGGAGCAAAAAAAATTAATGGATTTTTGGAATTGTGTTTTAATCATTTTGATGGTGTCTCATAGGAAATAATCAAGAAACTTTAGAAAATTCATCAATGAAGGCAATATAGTAGCAATATCCTTGATTAGATAAAATTGGGGAGGGACCTCATACATCAGAGTGAATTAGTTAAAAAGATAAGTACAAATGCAAAGAAGCTGAAGGAAATGATAATTTATGGCTTTTGTTAAAATTGCAACACTCACACATCGACGACATGTTAGAAATACAAGTGCAGGATTAGCCTTAGAAATGTGACTAATGACTTCCGGATGAGGGTGGTCTAAACTTTTGTTCCATAGAGATGAAGTTAGAGCGGATATGAGTAGAGCTGTCGGAAGTGTTGCCGAACGACAAGTTGGAGTTGTGGTAGGAATTGGGTATAATCCTCTCGAACTTTTGCCTTAAATGTCACTTGATTTGCCTGTGGATCAATGATATGGAAACCGGGAGAGTTAAAGAGAATAGAGAGGTTATTATTGGTAATTAGTTTATAAACTGAGAGGAGATTATGGGTTAAGAAAAGTGAATGCCAAATTTGAAAAAGAGCAACCTTACGCTCCAATGTCGGAAAAAGGTCGTTTCCATAGTGTTGAACCGAGACAGATTGCTCGTTGCCCACGAGGACTTGTTCACCGCCAGTGGCCGAAGTTACCATTTGCACCAGAATCAATGATCCAAGTGAATGAAGTTTCTTGAAGGGCTCGGCTGGATGGTATGTAGTCCAAGTTCTGTCGGTGCCAACAAGTGGAAGCGGAGTGACCATTTTTATGATATATTTGACATGTAACTGAGAGATTAGATTGAGAGCGTCCACCACGTGTGGGGTTGAGGTGTTATGAGATGTTCCACAACCACGGTATTTGCTTCCATGGCCACGAGTTGCCTGATGATTTGCTGTGAGAGCTAGTTGTGGGTTAGGATTAAGATCGATCTCGAGGGAATCATTTGTTTGATTAATTTCTTCGTTGCACAAAAATGAGTAAAAATCGTCGAGATTCATTGGCCGTAACTGAGTACGAATCGCTGTTTTGAAGGCAAGGTAAGTTGCAGGCAAGCTATTAAGGTGTATAAAGGATGGCACCTTCATTATCGATTTGACCATTGGCTGCCACTATATTATCAACAATAGTCTTGATCTTAGCAAGGTATTGTACCATCAATAGATTGTACATGGATATAGTATGAAACTCATTCTTGAGCTAGATTAGCCGTGATTTATTGGTGGGCTGCAAGCGCTCTGCAATTGTGCTCCATACCTCTGTCGTTGTGGGTAGATGCAGGACGTAGGGAAGAACAGTCGGGGAAACTATTGAGTATAGAGCTGCCATCAGATTTTGATCCACAAGGGTCAACATTGTGTAGAGAAGATTGGGAATTGGGAAACCATTTTCAGAAGTCAAAAATTTGGGTGGGCATTTGCAGCTGCCATCCAGGTAACCTAGGAAACCATTTCCTGAGATGATCTTGAGCAGTTGAGCTATCCACAATGGGTAGTTGTCGGCGGCGAGCTGGGTATGAGCAATAATTGTGATATTTCTCATAATGAATTTGAGAGTGAGAAAAACAGTGACCATCTGCATACTTTCGGCTGGGGAATTTACCGGAGTAGTACCCTGTGTTTCTGACATCTGTGATGCTTCCATGGAGAACTATAGAGTTGATCAGTGGTAGATGCTAAGAGAGGATTGGTTGGAGCTTTCTTAAAGCTCAGATCTAATACCGTAAAGAAGTAGCAGAAAAACACAGAAGTAGAAGAAGAGGAGTAATAGTTATCTCATGGTGGAAAATGCTTACAGTTTTTTCGTGGAGCCCTTTCCTGACTTACATCCTCTATATATAACCTACAGATAAGTATTCTGAAATATATGAAACCAGAAATCAGTTGGGATTCTGAAAATAAAATCTGCATCTAAGAGAGGAGCTCTATTTACGTACGTCATATGCATGACTCCGAATAACCTTTCAATAACTCAGTTTTTGGGAGTATTAACCTCAATAACATCTCAATAATCTCCTAATAACATACCAATATATTCCGCGGTTTGGTGCTTATCTTTTTTCCTGTCATTCGAGGGTTTTGTGATCTTATTTAGGATATTAACCTCAATAATAACGACATAACCCTGTAATACCCTCCAAATAACCTTCATACGCACGTAATTCTGCTTGCGTATGACGTACGTAAATATTTTTCATGAGAGTGGAGGAGCAGCTGTCGCAGGTGCAGGAACGATCTCCACGTGCATAACCGAAATTGCATGGTGCGATCCTCGCCATCATCCGAACGTCCGGACGATAAACATAATATTTTCTAGTTAACTACTCAATTCAGCTGCTTTAGTTTCTTCTTAAGGATAATTTCTTATACTTCCGATTACTTATTGAAGCATTGGAGTAGTTAATGTGGACATAAATTCAGAATTTATACAAGTTTTTCAGATAATAGTTATTTTATATCATTTAGATTTTAATGTTACTTTATTTAGATAGTTCGAGTAATACTAAATTTATATTGGTAATTTATCCGCAAATTATTAATCTGTAATAGTTCCTTAATTTATGATTTTTATGTGTTTGCTAACACTTTAACTATTTATTTGACCATTAAATATGAGAATTATGTAGCTTCTTTTATTTCTCTTATTCTATTTAGGGTCCGTTTGAGGCAGCTTATTTGGTGTGGTGAGGTTTTGAAAACACACTTAACTGTTTGGGTAAACTGCATTTTGGCAGCTTATGTGTTTTCAAAACGCTGAAAACAGCATTTTCACACCGCACCAGTGGCAACTTTCTGGCAGCGATCTGACTTTTCCAAAAAAATAAAAATTCGTAATAGCAACCACACCTTGCTTATCAACACATTATTCAATAAGCTGCAGCTGCTCCAAACAGACCCTTAGTAAACAACTGAGACTCAAAATTCTTCTCCTAGAATTTTTCTTCAAGAACTATCTGCTTACCACCCACATCTTATGTGTTTACATATATATATATATACATATATATATATATGTGTTCGTGCTGCCATCCGTGGCCTTTTGATAGAGTAGTTTCACACTTAAATTTTATTTTTAAGATTTTTTGCTACCCAAACCTTCATTTCACAGAAAAAAAAGGAAAATTCATTTAACTTTTAAAAAAATGAAAGTCACCATTGGATGCAAATGTAAAGTGGCATATGTAAAAATTAAAATCAAGTTGTTAGATATGTAAATATATAGAAATTGAGTGGCAATATGTAATTCTTCCTTTTTTGAAATAGTCCAAGTGTTTAGAATTATGAATGGTTTCATAATAATTCAAATTTGATGGCTATTTCTCTTCTAAACTTACCCTGGGAGGAATTAAATTAATGGGTGAAGCATCCCAATCATTAGTATTTTTTTCTCATAAGCTTATTGTCAAAGAGAAATATGGTGAGACCCTAATGCTATCTTGGACACAGGAAAAACATTGAACCATGTAAATCTTCTTATGTTCTATTTCTGTGCGTGAGATTTAGTGTTTCTATTTCTCTACTTATCTCTTCTCTTTTTCCTTACTATCCCCTAACAACTAGTAGCATAGCCACATAGCGATGGCTGAAGAAGGGGAAGTTCAAGTTGATAAATTTGATGGCAAGGATTTCAGTTTCTGGATGATGTAAATAAAGGATTAGATGTACTAGAAGAAACTACACAAATATCTTCTTGGTCAGCAGCCAAAAAAGATTAGCCAAGAAGAGTGAGAGTTGTTAGATCGCCATGCACTAGGTGTGATTCACTTGAAATTAACATAAAATGTTGCTTTCAACATGATAAAGAGAGAAAACGACGACTAATCTGATGAATTCTCTATCCAACATGGATGAGAAGCCAACAACATCGAAGATATTTTCAATTTCATTTATTTAATTTAAAGATAAAAGAATGTGCATTAGTTGCAGTCTTGTAGATCATATCAAAAAAATTAATATGATCACAACTTAGTTGAGTTTTGTAAACATCACAATTGATGAAGAGATTAAGGCTCTAATTTTGTTATCCTTATTGGAGAGTTATTATACGATGGTGACTGCAATGGTCAATAGTTCATCAGAGAGCACCAAATTGAATTTGATTGAGGACAAATACTTGATTTTCAATGCGAACATTCGCAAAAGACCAGTTGAAGAATGTTCTATCTTAGGCTTTATTTTAAGAGTTTAGAGTCGAGAAGAGGTTGGAATTGAATACAAAATCAACAAAGGTTTAATCCATGAGTAAGTCCAAAAGTCGCAAGGATCTTATTCATTGGAACAGTCGGAAGAAAGACATTTCTCTAGTTAATGCACAATACCAAAGAAGAAAAAATAACAAAAAGATGAATCAACTAATATAATAGCTGAAGAATACTATGATGCACTAGTTTATTAATCAATAGAGATATTTTGTCTTGAATCCTTGAATCAGGTGTGTTGTTTCATTCTACTCTTTGTCGTAAATTATTTTATAATTATACTGTAGGAAATTTTGACAAAGTCTATTATGTGGATGATGAGTCATTAGAGATCACTAGAAAGGAATAAGTTTAAATTAAAATTAGATATGAAATAAAGTGGGTCCTATCGAAGGTAATACATGTCCTAGGCCTAAAAAAAACTTGATATGAGCCAAATCAAGAGCTGTGGAACAACATAGTGTTTGGTGGTGGAACTTGGAATAGATCGAGAGGAAAATTTGCTGTGGTTAGAAGCAGAAAATGTGGGAACATTGTATAAGACCTCAGAGGATAAAGACCCAGTGACGGTTGATGTTAATTGAAGCTGAGAGTTGTGGCATCAAAGACTTAGCCACATGAGTGAGAAGAGAATGAAGGTCATGACATCAAAAAGAAAAATTTCCATATCAAGATTCAAAAAACTTAAAAAGTTCTATAAAAATTTTATTCTTGGAAAATAGAAAATGGTCTGTTTAAAAAAATAATAAAAAACTTCTAAATCTAAAAAACTAGAACTAATGACTCATTATACTACAATACATTTATTGAAAACTGCATAAGAAAGGAATGAGTTTTTTTTTATATAAATCTGATGTGTTTGCTACCTTCAAGAAGGGACATACAGAGGTAAAGACTCAGACATGATTTAAAGTCAAGTTTAATGATGAGGAGTATGATAGTAATGGATTTAAAGGTTATTGCTCAAAGCATGCAATCTGCATGCTGAAGATTGTTCAAGGAACCCCATAATAAAATGACATCTATGAAAGAATGAATAGAACCCTAATTGAGAGTGGAGAAAGCATGATATTGCACTCTGGCTTGCCCAGGATATTTTAGGGAGATGTTGTCAGAACAATAACTTATTAAATTAATAAAGGAGTGTTTGTATCTTTGGGTTTTAAATCCTTGAAGAAGAGTGGAGTTGAAAGGATGTATTGCTTTCACACCTAAAAATATTTAGTTGTGTTTCCTATGTGCATATTAATTCTGAATCTAAGGACAAGCTTGATGCAAAAGCGAGAAGTGCTACTTCATTCGCTATGACTTAAATTATTTCGGTTATCAATTTTGGGATGACCAAAATTAAAAAGTCATAAGAGCTAAAGATGTGATGTTCAATGAGAAAAGGCTATTTAAGGATTGATTTTAAATAATTAAAAAGCATAAGGAAAAGCACAAAGAAGTCATCTTTGATGAATTAATCCCACGAATATTAGCATTGATATAGAAGCTCCTTCACAAGCGACAACAAAGAAATTTACTCCACACTGAGAAGGTCTACAAGTAGCCTAAACTCACATGAAGTTATTCTCTATCTTATTATTTACTATGAACAGAAAATGGAAAATTGAAGATTTTATGAGTAAAAATGGGTTCACTAGATGTGAGATGGACCAATGTTGTTTCATTAAGAGGTTGGAAAAATCTTATATGATTTTGTTAAGTAATGTTGATGATATGTTAGTTGCAGGTGTAAGTATAACAAAGATCAATAAATTAAAAAATCAACTATCAAATGAGTTTCAAATGAAAGACTTGAGAATCATAAAATAAATAATTAGCATGAGGATTACTCGGGATAGATCCAAAGAGATTTTGCAGTTGTCCCAAGAGAAGTATATCCAGAAGGTTCTAAACTGATTTGATGCTCATATTACAAAGCCAAGAGAGACTCCCTTGGGTAACCATTTCATGCTATCTAAAAAGTAGTCACCATAGTTTGATTATGAAAAAGAGCACATGAACATATTTGGGAGGAGATTTAGATGGTCACAATAACACATCAGGTTATGTGTTCACTATTTGAGGAAATGCAATTACTTGGAATTATAGATTGCACAAGGGTGTCTCACTATTTTTGAATCCGAGTACATGGCAATGTTAGAAGAGAAGAAGAAGATTATTTGACTAAAGAATTTTTTAAGGGAATTAGGTAAGCAAGCCAACAACACTCTCTTCAGTGACAATTAGAGTGGCATCCATATATCGAAGAACCAATTTTTCATAAAAGGTCAAAACATATAAGATTATGGTATAATCACATTAGTGGGTTAATTGATGATGGAGCTTTACGGTTAGATGGGATTCATAGAGCAAAAAATTTTGCAGACAAGCTAACTAAAGTAGTGATCATCTCAAAACCGAGGTTGTATAAGACCTCAATTAACCTCCAAAAGTCATGATAATGGAGACGCCACACTAGGAGCATTGGTGGATCTACTTGGAGGAGCACAACGATAGACATATTTAAGCAAGACATTTAATATATTAAAAAAAATCTCCAAGTGGGAGACTGTTAAATGTGGAGTCAAATTTCACATATTTAATTTTTTGTTAAGATTTGATAGCCATCAAATTTAAATGGTTTTACACTTAACATACAAATTTGATGCTTATTTGGTCAATTAAAAGTATTTCTCCTCTAAACTTAATCCCTCCACCTTAGTCTATAAATGGGAGAAAATTAATGGGTGAATCATCCCAACTATTTGCATTTCTCCTCCTAACTTCATTGTAAGAGAGAAATACAATGAGATCTTAATTCAGTCATGAACGTAGACAAAACATTGAACCACATAAATCTTCTTATGTTCTTTCTCTCTGTGTGAGATTTTATATTTTTATTTCACATTCACCGTACTTTTTTTTTTCTTTCTTATCTACAAACATAATGACTATCAGGTGACTGCCGTTGGGCCTAAAGAGAATTTTAATTGATCTTTGAATTTTAGTCAATATCAAGTTTATCAGAAAAGAAAAAAATATTAGTTTACTCTCTCTCTTTTAAGTTTTCTTATAGAAAATGTTCTAATTGAAGCGTTTGTGAAATATAATTATTTTTAAAATGTTAAGAGATAAATTGTAAAATATATTCATGTGTTTCCCTGCAGAAGCTTACTTCCTCAATGTTAATTAATTATATATATATATTAAAAAGATTGATCATCAATCAACCCTATAGTCTCACCGAGGGGCAGACCCTACTTCCAGAAAGGTGTACAATTCGATCTTATGCAGGGATCGAAGCCCCGACCCGAGAGACTTACACCAAAGACCGCGACACACACACATACTCATATATATACGACAGCAGATATATATATCTATATATATATATATATATATATATATATATATATGTTGATTATGAATTTGTAATAACTCATTTAAATTTTCATTTATTTTTCTTTTTTATTGATTTCCTTCCTGACATTCAAAACATGGATTCTAGCACTATGGAGAGTTACTAAAGTTGAGCATGATCTAATTCTATTTGAATTAATTAATTTTGAAATCAAATCATTTATATCAACTCTCAAAATATTTAGGTTAAGCTATGATTTTCCTAAATAAAAGCAATTTAGTCAATTCCATTAAAGTTGAATGGATTTTACTTGATTTTTGCCATTTTTAGCCAAAGGATTAGAAGTTAATTAAGACAAGCATATTTAATAATGGCAAGTAACACATATCACTTGAGCCTTATTTACTAGTAAAACTAACATTCTACTATTCCCATTTCTCAAAATTTATAATAGGTATTAATCCAATAATTGTAAGTGGAGTTAATTAATTAGGAGTTCTTATGAACCGAATTTTAGTAAATTAATAAATAGAATAAAAGAGGATAATATATACACATGGTTTGTGGTTACTTTTAAGACATAAGTTAGGTGAAATCAATCCATAGAGATTTACATTTCTCCCATCAATAGCTATAAATTTCATTTGTAAGGGCTCATGCACAAAACTTCTCCAAACAATAGCCAAGGCATAAAATCCAATTAGCCAAAGATTAAGAAAAGAAAAGAAAATTCAACCTCAGGTTTAGCCAAAGCATTAATAACAGACTACCCCTCCCAATTCTCAAAACCCTTGAGACCATAACAAACCTCTCAGCAACGGTAAGTGGTGCTTCTGTTGCCGGAAGGAGGAAATGCTTGCCGCCGCCGAGGCTGTCCTCCCCCCTCCCTTTGCTCCCCGCTCGATGGAAAAACCTTCTTCTTCGCACTTCTTGAAGCCATAAGAACCCCATCGCTCGTGCTACCATCATCTTCCCCTCCATTTTCCTCACCAAATTTCATAGATCTTCTTGCTGCCGCATAGTCGAATGGCGAAATTTGCGAAGAAGACCAACTGTTCCCTCGCAAGCCACTCTTCTCATGGGCGTGTTGGGACATCTGCTGAAATCCGGAATGGAGATCAGAGAGAGACATGAGCGGTTCTGTTGCGTGGGCATCTGCTTTAGAGATTTCAGCATTGCTATTGATGACGTCAACGTTTTCGGGGCTTTTGGGTGGCGACTCGGAGCTGTCCATGCTGTTTTCTAATGGGATTACTTCTTCCAATGTGGCAGTTAGTGAGTGCTGATCTGGGCTTTGCACAGTTTGTGTGGGAGCAATGTTCTTGTCTGTAGGAGTTGGTTCAGGGATGGTTTCTTTGCTGGGAAAGGAATAGAATGGGAGGATCACGGAAGCTTTGATCTGCTCCACCTTTTTCTCGTTCTTCTCCTGAAAGAAAGGAAAGTATGATGAATTTTTCGAATAAGGAAAATGAGATCATTGAATAATCAATCTGAAAACAGTAAGGATGTACGAATCATCATATGGCTCATTTAAATATTTACTAATATAGAATATATTAATTGGTTTATATATATATATATATATATATATATATCACAGTGATATCTCTTATTTCTATGAATAATTACTATGAATAAGCAAAGATTAAAAATTGGATCAAATCAGCCAGCTTGATCTGTTCCGGCGGTGAATCAATTTCCAATAGATTTGTTGTCAAAAACTATTAAAAAGCAGGATGATGATTGAACACAACCTATTTCTGATTTGAATGAAAAGCCAGGTTCATTCCATGCTTAAATTATCAACATTAAATTTTAATCAAATTAAAGTATAATCTAAATATTTAAAATCAAAGTTTACTAAATCAAAATTTACAAACTCCAAGCCCTTAAAAACTTGATATTTCTAGTATTCATTAGTTCGCCTTTTGCTCCTTCAATCCTTTCCTTTCTTGAATCCTTTGGTCGCTATCCATTGGATCTCCTCTGCACGAAATATCAAAATCTTTGTCTTCTTTCTCAATTCTAAGTTTTCATGATTTCTTTGCTAGCTATGTATTCAGATTTTTGCGATTATTTTTACACACATGAGGCAATGAGTCAGGATCTAGATCTATTTTATGGATAGAACACAACAATTAGGATGCACCGATACGGACATGAGGACACATGCGCCTTTAACATGGGGAAGTAATCACAGCAATAACGGTGATACTCGAATAGAGAAAATAATGAAAACCCTTGTCACTAAGAAGGATCAAGCAAAGAAGATCGGATGCCGCATCAGTTCAGCAGTAAGTATAGGAGTGAGGATAATTGTGGAGTGAAAATTGATTTATTGGATTTTGACAATTGTATGAATCAGAACAAGTTCATCGAGTTGCTCCAAATAATGAAACGATTTCACATGACATAAAAGATGAAGTTAGTTATCATTAAATTAAAAAAGAGCACTTCCAACTGGTGAGAGAATTTGAAGCTTCCAAGCCATTATAAAGGAAAGAGTAGATCTTGGCCTGATATAAGATGAAGAAAATACAACGCAAGTACCTCTCAAAATATTATAAACAAACTAATTTTTTGAGACTTCACCATTTGCATCAGAAAGACCTACTAGTAGAGTATAATGCTAAATTTGAACAACTCATACCGAAGTGTGAGTTGGTAAAATAAAATTAAAAAAAAAACATCAAGCCTGAAATCATGAAGGACTGAAACCAATTAGCAATACATTGCAGTTACATTCCTACTGAACTTAGCATGATATACAAATCTTTAGTCTTGAAGATGAAGAAGCAACGCAATAGCATCAAATCCACTCTACCACTCAAACAGAGTTCGACCATAGAGTCGGACAACAAGACCACACTGGCAATTGCTAACCCTGCAATCATGAAGAGAATGCAAGAGAAAAAAAAGGAATGAAAAGGTTAACAACCCAAGACATTCCTAAATAAAAATTTTTCAAGTGTCATGGAAATGAACATAGTACATCTAACTGTCAAATAAGAGTTTTTTTTTTATAGAGCAGTGTGCAGTGGAAGAAACGGATAGTAGAAATTCTAGAAATGAGAAAAATGGGTAGGAATATCAATTGGCTGAAGATGAGGGAAAGATGTAGGTGGTTTGACGAGTTTTTTAGACCGAACCCAAGAGAGAGAAACAATGGCTTATGCAATATATTTCATCCTCATTCCACCGTGAAGGGAAAGGTGTGCAGCCTCATTATACACGAAAGCAATTTTGAGAATGTGGTGTCGAAACAGATGTTGGATCCGACCCTATTTACGAAGTAACGGATAGAGTTCTCCAATGAAGACAAGCTACAAGATCATATGTGATGTGACATTGTGCTTATGGATGTATGACACATTTTGTTAGACAAACTGTGGCAGTATGACAAAGGTATACTTCATAATGACCACAAAAATACCCACTCATTTATCAAAGACGAGAAGCATAATGTATTTTTGCCTTTGAAGGAGTCAACAATTATGAATGACCAGATAGAGATGAGAGATCTAATGCCTCATACTATATTTTTATAGGCTTTAAAAGGGACGTCAGTGGGATTGGCCTTGGTGTGTTAGAGGGCAAAGAGACTGAGTAGCCAATACCTTAGGTAGTGTGGTCTCTACTGGAAGAATTTCAGGATGTTTTGACTAACAACCTACCATATGGATTATCAACCTACATGAGCTTTAGCATGCCATAGATATTGTCCTAGCATAAGTGCTCCCTAACTGACCAACTTATTGGATGTAACTAGTAGTGTATAAAGAGCTGCAGAAGCAAGCTCAACATATGATGATTAGAGGATTAATTCATACGAGTAATAAGCTGGTTGTTATATCAGCATTTATTGTGTCCAACAATAATGGATCGCAGTGTATGTGCAAAATAGTAGGGCAATGAGCAAAATCACCATCAAATAATGGTTTCACATTTTTAGATTGGATGACTTTCGGATAAATTGCATGGAGATTGCATCTTTTCTTAAAGAATTTTGCGCAATAGATACCTCCTGATTCAGATGAGGCCCATGGATGAGGGAAAATTTTTTTTTAAGATGCAAGATGGATTGTATAAGTGGACATTCATGCATTTAGTCTGATTAATGCACCAAGTACTTTTATGGGGCTGATTAGGAAAGTTTTTTAGACTTTATTGGAAAATTTGTGGATGTGTTCTCTGTTGATAATATGGTGTACAACCACTCAAAGGAAAAGCAATTAAAGCACCTAAGACAAGCTTTTAGAGTTCTTTAGACAGTAATTGTCTAACCACTCAAAGAAGTGTCACTTTCTGATACCTCAGACATACTTGAAAATATTGTTCCAGTTGTTGGCATTGAGATGGACTGAGCAAAAATAGAGGCTATCGTGACAGGCCTAATCCACAATCATTTAATGAGATAAGACATTTTCATGGATTGACTTCTTTTTATAAGAGATTTATAAAAAAATTTAGCTCTATAGAGGCACCCTTCATGAAAGCTTCACAACGTAAACATATTTATATGGTCAGAAGTAAACATGTTCAGAAGAGACATAGGCTATCTTTGACACCTTAAAGAAACAGGTTACTCAAGCCCAAATTCTATTTTTTTCAAATTTCAATCAAGTGTTCGAGGTGAAGTGTGGCATCTCCAATGTAGGGATATGTTAAGTAAAGGTGGGTATCACAATGCCATCTTTAGTAAGAAGTTGAATGCATCTAAGCAAAAGTATTCCACCTATGATAGGGATTTTATGTTATTTGAGAGAGCTCTCGGCCATTACAGTCACTATTTACTAGCCAATGAGTTTACCCTTTATATTGATCATGAGGCTCATAAATTCTTTAACAATCAGAGCAAGCTGGATTGGAGACATGCCTCTTAGGTTGAGTTCTCTTTTTAATTTGTGCTTAAGCATAAAATGGGGAGCCAGAACAAGCTAGTTGATGCAGTCAGTTGTCGTCACTTATTGATCACTACTATGCAATAAAAAATAGCTGGCATCGATGTATTGAAGAAATTGTATGCCACTGATGAAGACTTCTAAGAGATTTGGACCCATTGTCAAGATAAACCGTACAGGCACTATCGTAGATTTGATAATTATCCATTAAAAGTAGTCACTCCGAGAGGATATCTTATAGGAGTATCATGATAGACAAATGGCATGACATTTGGCATAGACAAAACTTTCCAAAGTGAAAAAGCATTAGAACCTAGACTAGCATGAGATGTAGAGAAACATGTCATGTTGTACAGCGTACGTCATTTGAATAAAACATGGGGACAAAATACAAGATACAATAGCCCCAAATTTGATTTTTAAAAAATAAATTATATAAAAGCAAGCCATATGGAAGAAGATGAGATTGAATCACATAGATACAAAGACATAAGCCCCATTTTGGGCAGCACTTTTACCGCAGCGCGGCGAAAAAACGCAACACCTCGTGATTTTTTTGATGGCGCGGCGTATTTTATGAAAAATACGAACGAAACGCAGTCGCAGGTTCAACCCTGCAACCTACGTTCGCTAATATAATGTTGACGCGTCTGCCCCTCCTCTCCCGCAATCATTCCTCTCGCATGTCTTGTCCTAGCTGCCCGTCCGCTCCTGCAATCCTCTCTCTTACATCTTGCCCTAGCGGCCCTCTCCTCTCCTCTTTGTTTCTCTCTCTCGTCATGCGTTAGCGTCCCTCTTCTCTCCACTCTCTCGCGCAAGATTATCGCGGTTGTTGTGCCTCTCTCGGTAAGTTCTCTTCTCCCTCTCCTCTATCTCTTCTACGGCTCTGTTTGGATCTTTTGGTCTGTGTGAGGTGTTGCTTCTTCGTGTAGTGCTCTGTGCGGTGGCTCCTCTATGTGGTGGTCCTCCGTACTGTGGTTACTTTATGTGTTGGCTCCTCTTCGTGTTAGGTAATCCCTACCTTAGCTATGTCACTGTATTAGATTTTAGAAATGTGTATGTATCTGACATTTCATGATTTTCTCTTTGCAGTGGTTCCTCTATGCGGTGGTTCTTTTTCCTGCAGGGTAATTTTTATGTGGTAATTTCTTTGCGCTAACTGTGTGGCTTTTCATTTTATGCCTTTGTGCCCACCGTGGGTTCCTCTTGGTGTTACTGTGGTTCTCTATGTTTGAGAATTTTGTGATTTTTTATTTGGCTAATGCTTATGTTCCACTGCTTCTCAATTAAAGTTGGATTTTGGGATTTTTGGGGATCTCATATGCAATGGCTTAGATTTTCTGGGATTTTTTATTTGAAAAATGCTTATGCTTCATTAGTTCTCGGTTGAAGCTAGATTTTAGGATTTTTGGAGATCCCACGTGCAATGGCTAGGTTTTTGGGATTTTTGATTTGGCAAATGCTTATGCTTGCTCCTTTATGTTCTTGAATTACGGTGTAATGTGTTGGTTTCGAATGCACGCAT